TCGACATTTCGTCATTTGAGATTTTAGTTGACGAAAGTCGAAACTAGGTTTCGACTTTCGTCAGCGCGAAACCTCGAAGTTTCGTCTAACAACTATAGCTGCGACACTATGTATGTGGGACGCGTTTTTTCGAGACGCGCATGGGCTTTATTTGAATCAAATATGCGATTTTCAAAAAAAGATAGAATTTTCGAAATAACGCCCATGTACGTTATTATGGCCTATACGGTAAAGTGAAATATACAGTAACGATATATCTATTTATTTCTCTTTTTTTTACTATCTCATATGTGAACTTTTCTATTCAACATTAAGAAAAGTGCACGGATCGAAAGTTTAAACAAACCTACAGATTAAGAAAAAGAACAAAATTTTTGAATTTTTAATAATGTTTATAAAATAAATTAACTTTATGTTCTTAATGTGGAAGATGATCCTTCAAGTACCTCACAGGTTACAAAGTTTGGATATATTTTTACTTAGCGAATGAAGCAAAGATTAATATTTCTGATAACAACTTTTAAAAGTCAAGCCAGACTATCAAACATTACAAACCGCGTTAGATAAATTCAAAGTTCATAACGCAGTAAATAACTTTTGTCAATTATCTTTTTTTTTTTTATAATTTTAGTCGTTACCTTGGTTCGAATCAAAAGTGGTGCAAATAGAAAGAATCAATCAAGCGACGCTGATTCACTTTTCTTAAATGATTATAATATGTCAGAAGAATCCTTATAGTTGCGTGATATTCGTTATTTATTTTTAAATATTAGATGCCTTAAAGTTGTTTGTTTTAATAAATTCAATGTCGAAAAGGCATCCTTTAAATTTCTGAAATTTTTAATTCATATCGATATAGTGCTATAAAAATGTTCAATTAAATTCTCAAATTCAAGTATTAACTTGAAATTAATGCATTTGTATAAAAATTTGCACGAACATATTTATTAGAATAAAAGCAGTTTTGTGGCAAAATCAAGTTCTACATTTTTTTTTTGCAATTATGAAAGATGTTGGGGTATAATCGCGTAATTGATATTTATGGTCACAGATTACGGACGTGCCAAATATGTGGTAACATGAAAAAATGTGTAAATATCTGAATGTTATCCTCGTTAAAAAAAATTATGTCATGTAAAATAACTAGGTATTTTAACTGAGGTACTTTGGTCAGTGCACTACGGCATTCTTTAAACTTGGCATGCCATCTGACATTCCAAGAATCCTAAGTTAGGTTTCATATTGGTCCTCTTATTGTGTTTTTATATATAGTACATTAAATTTAAATTACTATACAGTATTTCATTAAATAAATGTATCTTATGTAACAGGAATTTTTCAAAATTTAATTCTGTAATTATGAATTAAAGCGTATTTTCATGAATAAAGTATGATGCTTGAATAAAGAATTAATGATGAATTGACAAGTCTTCAATTCATTCTTTACTATTTTCTCATTCACTTGTTAGTATTAACCATCGATGCTAAGTTTGCTAGACATAAATATCATTAAAATATCATCCACTATCACTGATATTAGTTCTGAAACAATAACACCCAAAAAGGTAAGATCATAAATTCATTACAGTGGTTACAATTTCGCGTTTATTTAATGCTATCATTCAAAAACGTTAAAGCTTATATTTGTAATTAGGATAGAGTTAGGGTCAGGATTAGGCGGTTAGTGTTTGGTTTGTTAGATTAGATATTTAGTGGTCGTTTGTATATGTTATGTGACGATTCAAAATATTACGCGCAATGATTTATATGTAATGATATTTGTTTTTTTACTTAATATTATTTTTTTTTAGAGGAAGCACTAGGGTTTCATTACTTTAAGTTTGGGTTTTGACTTTCGCAGAAAGATTTGAGGGTTTCGACTTTCGTCAGAAGGATTTAAGGTTTCGATTTTCGACAGAGGTTTCGTCATTTAGAGCTTAAGTTTCGACTTTCGTCATTAAGCAAAAAAGGTTTCGTCTAACAACTATAGTCGCAGCCCTCACTGACTACGAATATAACCACCGGCGAAACAGAGCAACGCACCGCTGATTCAACACAAAGATAAAGGTTTGATATTTGAATCCATTACTTGTATCCTTTAATTCAAGTATTCTTCTACCATGACCCTCGTTCAACATATCTTGAACATCGATTTTCGTCGAACCGATCCTGACCGTGACACATAGTCTCAGGAAAGTTTTTGAGTTGGAACGGAGAGGAATACTTCTAAGCCATACTCTATGAAATTTTGTCGATGTCCGGCTCCGCTCTTGTAATTGTGATGCCAACGATCCCCTGTAGAACTTTAATCAGCAATCTGATCAATATTAGTAGCAAAACTGATTAACAAGCTGATTAATGATTCGATTTATTGAAATTTACGATAAAATGCAAAATCACAAAAGAATTTATACGCCTAAGCAAAAGACCGCAAGAAATTATGCCAGAAGATTAGCTTCGATGGCGCTTGAAGAACAGTTAAGTTATTGAAATAATGTAACAGACAAATAAATCTTAAGTTTAAACATAATACATATTGAGTTTATTTACCACATTCTCATTATTGTATAAATTCATGAGGTTTTACTTTTTTAGAAAATCAAATATTTTGTCACTATTCACCTGCCAGCTTTGCGATGATTATCGTAATCTTCTAAAAAGTTTCGCAATACAGTCATAAATCGCAAGACTTAATATTATCACAAACTGTAATAGGCATTAGCACAAAGAATATGCTATAGGTCTTACATATGTTGCTATATAAAAAGTTCGTATTCATCCTGCTCATTTTCGTTTCAATAGTTACAAAAATTGGGTGAAAGTATCCGTTTACAACAGAGATTACTTTCTTTATGACTTAATACTGCATATTAGTGTAAATTTACAAATGTGTGCTTATCATTATAATGAATTGGATTTTATTATATTATTATTTAATATATCAGATAAGCCACAGAATTGTTGAATCTTCCAAAACCGATCCTGTCAAATCTGATAAAAGTCCGTTTCGTTATATAAACCTAGTAGTTTAACTTTTTTCTTCAAAATTGGGATAATGATTCGAATTATCGCGCATGCGCGTTCCGAAATAACTCATAGGGTCTCAAAATAACGCGCAGATGCGCGTTATTACGCGCCTATACGGTAACTAATTAAACCTAGGTGCCGCACAAAAAATGCGCGGATGATCCTCGATTTTGATTGGCTAACGGCCGGTGATCTTCGA